CAGAAACGCTTCTTCGCTGATCGGGCCAAGGGCACAGTTTCGGCGGGTTGGAAGCCTATCATTTGCGTGGAGCCGAACCCGAACGGCGAGCCGCCGTCGGTAAAATGGTCGGCTGCGAACATCATCTCCGAGGGCATCGACAAGGCCAAAGTCACAGAGGCGATCGCCGACATTGTGGCGGGGCCTGAGCAAGTGCAGTGGTCCTAACCCATTCTTTTCGGCCTGGTGCCGTGCCCATCCCTCTCATGATCACCTCTCATGTGGGTCCTGGAATGCCCGAGCTCTCTTCTACCACGACCGCCCCCTCCGCGACCGCAAATTATTCTACCTGAAGAAGATGGTTGGTCAGGGAACTCTTAAGGGGATTCAAGAGACTCATTGGACTTCTGCGCAGATAGATAACATGATATATCGACTCCGACTTCCTGTTCGCCCCTTCTACTCGCTTCTTCCTCTTCATTCCCATCCGTCTGGAGGTGCGCTCACATTAGTGCCCAACTTTAAGCCTGATGGCGAGGGCTTGCCGCCGAGAGTTCATCCAGTCGAACTCGTCAGGGGAAGAGCTTTGAATGTTCGGATTGAGTTTAGCAGTGGGGCCAAAATCAGTCACTTCAACGTTCGCAATTTTGGATTGTCTGCGGGGCAACGGGGCCTGATCCTAGAGGCTATCGCGTCGGACTTAGAGGCCGCTCGGAGGGGTCCAGAGAAGCTCTTCGTGATCGTAGGAGGCGACTTCAATATTTCTTCAGCGCCCCCGATAGCTGCAACTAAGGACTCACCCATCACCCTTGCCCAAAATCAAGATTGGGGGCGCTCGCAGTGCCGGTTTTGGAATCAGATTTTTGGGAGTTTGACCGAGATCGAGCTGAACGAACCGACCCACTTCCATGCAGCTAGGGGCGCGCTGAATTGTATTGATAGGATATTTGTGTCCGCGCCAGGCCGGTGTCTTACTCAATCTTGCACTGGAGGTCGTCTGCGCGGACAACCTGAAACACTACACGACACGCACATCTCTGATCACGCAGGTATATCATTCACCCTGGCGCCGAGGAAAGACACCAAGCCTGAAGGGGCGCGCCATCCCGAATGAGATCTTTCAGAGGCCTGAGTTCCAGGCCAACCTGTCCAAGATTCTGCAGCAAGTGGATCAGGAGTTCCTCTCGCCCCCCCTCAAACTCGACCTCCACAAGACGGCGATGCGAGAAGCTGCGAGACTGACGAGAGACGCGATCATCCGACACAAACCTCACGATCCGTTGACCCGACTGATTATACTCAGAACGATATCGCGAGCAGTATGGCAGCAAAACATTCCACTTGCTCGGAGAGTGATGCACACTCACCCGCTCGGCATCAAGTTTATCGCGCTGAGCTGCGACGGAGACCGAGTGGAGCTCAGGGACCCCCCAGCCTTCCAGCTCGCCACAGAGCAAGAGCACCGCCGGTTGTTCGAGTCGGCAAAGGAAATCGCCAACCGCCGGTCTGCAAGCTGCTGAATTAGGACCGCCCAGGGCTAAGCTTCGCCAGAGGATTCGAGGACTACACAAAAGACGAAGATCATGGGCCCCTTTCGACCGAGAGCTCTGCCTCCAAGGGATCCGCGCGTCCACTGACTCTGAGAAACCCGCTGTCACCTCCCCCCCCAGAGATGCTGAATCTGTTGGCGTCGCACTGGGCCCCAGTATTTGAGGCCAGGGCTACTGATGGTGCCGCTGCACGGCATTATCTGAACCGCTTCGGCTTCGGAGCCGACCTAGGCGATCAACCACCTCCAACACTATATGATATCCAGAGATGTCTTCAGAGGCTTGGTTCCAGCGCCCCAGGACCAGATATGCCCCCATATGATGCTTGGAAAAACCACCCCCAAGGCGCTGAAGTGTTATCAGAAGTTCTTTCTAGGATGCTGGAGGGCAAATCGCTTCTATTTGGGTTTAACGAACTTCGCGGGGCCTTTCTTGCCAAAGAAGATGAGGAAGGAGATGCTGCGCAGGTTCTTCGACGCGCTAGTCAGACACGTCCGCTCGGATTGAAGAGCGCTGAAATTAAAATACTAACCAATGTTTGCTGTCGATCGTCAACCCGTCGGCTTCCCCAGCTTGTCCATCGCACGCAGAGAGGGTTCGTGCCGTCCCGCAACTTTGGCGAGAATGTGCTTGAGCTTGATACGATGAGCCGTATCACCTCGATGGAAGATGATGTCGGACGGAGGCTTCCCGTGCTGGCGGCCTTCGACTTCGGGCAGACCTTCCCCTGTATCAGCCACGACTAGATATTCCGAGTTCTGAAATCGCTCCATCTCCCTGGGCCTCTTCTGGGGTTCTTGGGCATGATCTACCAGGATGTGCGGTGCTGGGGTGGTATCTCGGGCAACCTGCAGGTCCTCTTTCCCATCTGCTCGGGGATTATCCAAGGCTGTCCCGCATCAGGAATGTCGTGCGCATTGGCCTCACATCCCTTCATGTGCCACTTCGAGGTGCTGGTGAAAATTCCTGGACTGGGTCTCGCGAGGGCTTGCGCTGATGACAAGGGTAGTGTTTTAATCCAGCTCACTGCGCTCAGAAAACTTTCTACGGTTTTCCAGGCCTGCAAGCGCGTTGCGAATTTAGAACTCAAAGTGAACAAGTGTGTTTTGGTCCCTCTGGTCGGGGGATGCTCCCCCAAGATCGAGAACGTTTATCGGCAGTGGCTAAAAAAGCATCTGCCAGCCTGGGCGGGGTTTAAAATCGCCAGCCATCTGAAGTATTTAGGCCTACAAGTCGGTGTCAGCCAATTCCAGCGTTTCCCCTTTAAGGAGGTCGCTCAGATCGAGCACCGACTCTTCGAACTGATGTTCAAGATGCCTCACTGCTGTCTCTCGAGAGCCGACTGGCTCCATCTTCACGAATGGGGTGGCCCCAAAGTGAAGAGCGCCGTTCTAATGAACTTAGCGACGCTTACACGTGCCGCACTCACCACGCTCAGCATCTGGGCCGAGCTTTCTACAACTCTCGAGCAGCGTGCCCGCGAGTGCTTGCCCATCGCTGCCTTCATTCGAGGGCGGCGTTCCCAGAATTTTGGTCTGGACCATGTCTGGTCCATGAATTACAAGAAGCAGCAAACGGTTTCCCATCTCATAGGCAGTGGAGATCAGCAGGGCCCAAGGCGGTCGAGGCTGCTAGTTCAGCGATGGCGGAAGGCAACAAAGTCCAGCGTGCTGCTCTCGCTGCCTTCAACACCCACCTCTTCCCCTCCTCCCTCGCTCGTGATTTCACGGCTCGGCTCCTCCATCTCTTCCCCAACTCCGCTCAGGCCATCGGGCGCATTCCCTGGGACGAAGTCCGCCGGTGCATTTTGATGTGCCTAACCTCCTGGGGCAACAGCTTCTGCAAGACATGTGCAGGAGTTTGGACCACCGACAGCCGATTCCAGAAAGACAGGCACTCGTGCGCGTTCGGATGCGAGGGTCCTGACAGGCAAAGTCACTACTTTCAGTGTCGGCAGGTGGATGCTTTGCTTCGCAAAGCTCTGAATATGCCGTTCTTCTCCCACTGCCTTATCCACCGTCTCGGCCTTCTGTCTCCCACCCCTCTCGGTTTCAGCTACCTAGTCGCCGCCCACCAGCTTTATTGTCTCGCCTCCTCTCGTCCTTCCCTCCCGTTGAGCCCTGCTGATGCCGATGCCCTGCTCCCCGCTTTTTCCACTTCCGTCGCTGGGCTGTCTCGGGCTGCCCTTCGAGAGAGCAGCGCGACGGGTGCCAGCAGCACTTCCAGTACTTCAAGGCAGGAGCGGCCCACTGCGGCTGCCGCCGCCGCCGCAAGATTTGGTGAGGACTGATGAACTTGACCCGATGGTACGAGCGCAGGAGGAGGAGTAGTACTAGTAGCAGTAGTACTAGGAGGAGGAGGAGGTGGGGGAGGAGGATGAGGAGGAGGAGGAGGAGCGGGATGAGGAGGAGGAGGAGGAGCTGGAGGAGGAGGAGGAGGAGGAGAAGGAGGAAGAGGAGGAGGGAGAGGAGGAGGAGCAGGAGGAGCAGGATCGTGGCGCATGTGCCACTGATCGTATAATGTTGTATCGTACAACCAGGAGCGTTGGCTCAGCGTGCCGCTCTGCCAGATCTGGCCCGCCACGCCTCGGCGCGACACGCTATGCACTTCCTGGCCTCCTGGCGTCAATGTCCCGAGCTTCTCCGAGCCTCCCGCCCCGCGGAGCGGAGCGACACGCTGTCCGCGCGTTATCGTCGGTGCTCGGCGGCTTTCCATCCTCGGGATGCTTTCCAGCGACTGCGCGCGCCTCGCCGAGAGCGTTCCGCGGGTGCCCAGGCCCTCCCGAACGGCCGCCGCAGAGCCCAGAAGTGACCTGAGAACCAAGGGGCATCGAAACACATCGCCACCGAATCGCACACTGATCGCCGACAGGCGCCTGATAGCCTACGGTAGTTTCGTGTCGTGCCGACAGGCGGCGACCCCGCCGCCGGCGTTCAACGTTGAACGCCGCCAGCGACCTAGGAGGAGGAGGAAGAGGAGGGGGAGGAAGAGGAGGAGGAGGAGGAGGAGGAGGAGGAGGAGGAGGAGGAGGTGGAGCCCCGCGTTTCGGAAGCGGCCGATCCCCGCGTTGTCGGAAGCTACAACGCCGAAGTGCGCCCCGACACGAGCCTGCCATATACACTGCCCAAGGCCGCGCAGAGGCGCTACATCGGAGGTCCACCGCCGAGCTGTAGCTCGATGCTTCCCGCCCCGAGCGGGTTGCCCCCCCACCCCCCCCAGACCCCCGACGTGGTGTTTTTTTCACAGCGCCGACCCTGAAAGGTCTGGACCGTTTCCCTTGGGACCGGTTTTTCCTTCCGAGTCGGTTTTTGACGGTCCCGAGGCCCGGTGAGAGCCCACGGGGGCCGGCAACACTGAAAAACCTCCCGCGTCGTGATTTTTCCGCAGCACGAGGGGGTCTGGGCCCAACGCTGCCCCTCGGCTCTGCACCAGTGCCGCCCTTCGCTGCCGTCGCGGGCTCTTCGCGCTACCAGCGGGGCGCCGCGGGCGCGCCCCCCTGGGCGCTCGCGCCAGCGCTCCTCAGACATCCGACGATATGATTGGGTCGGGCATGTCCTCTCAGAGGCGGATTCCGGATGAAAAATAAACAGTGTCAAATATTTATTCAACAATAGTCACCAATAGTGGAAAAAACGTTCCAGATTATATTCTTGAGTTTTCCTCCTGGAGAGGGACATGCCCGACTTAACGATATGATTTTCTCAAGACGTGGCCCCAAAGGTCCCGACCACTTCCCCGGGGCCAGTTACCCCCCCGCTGGATTCACTTTGGACGGTTCCCAGGGCCCCAAAGGCGACCACCAGAGCAGCATGTAAGTGTCGACGCCTCTGTGTGGTGTGGTTTTGGGTGTCTCCGCCCATCCTCTGTCCAGTGGAGGAGAGAAGTTCTCGGGGGGCGTTGTGGAGGCTCCAGAGGGCTCCCGGGACGGTTGACGAGCTCGTCCCCCCCCCCGCCCCCCCTCAAGTCGGATTTTGGACCCCGGGGGAGGGGGAAAGGGGGAGGGGGAGGGGGACAGCCACGTATCTCACACCCCTTTTCAAAACCCGGCATGCGGGGATCGGCAGATTTTAGGCGTGCCGGCCCTTCGGGTAACCAACGCCCGTAGAGCAGTTCGGCCGCACTCTGTACAAGTGCACGCACTGTTTGCGGGAATGTTTTGCTTGACGGCGCTGCGGGGAAAGCTGGTCCACTCAGATCCCTGTGGAGGAAAACCGCCCGTATTGAAAATACGCGTGGGCGACGCAGAAGAACGGAGTCGTCTTCACCCACGTTGGCGCGCCAGCTGCCCGCGTAAGGTCGTACGGGAGTGCCCTCGTTCCCAGTGTGGCGTGCCGCGCTGGCGACCAGCGTAAGCCAGCGCGTGAGGTCGCTATACCATCGCGCGTGAGACCCGCTTCTTCTCGCTGCCCACATCCTCCTCCTCCTCCACCACCACCACCACCACTTCCACCACCACCACCACCACCACCACCACCACCACCACCTCCACCACCTCCACCACCTCCACCACCTCCACCACCTCCACCACCTCCACCACCTTCACCTCCACCTCCATCTCCACCTCGACCTCCACCTCCACCTCCGCTCATATCGTCGGGGAGCTGGGTGCTCCGGATCGGGATGCCTGGCGCCCGTCTATGGGGCCTCTCTCCGGAGCACCTCTCGCAGGTGGCTGGCAGCCTGGGCGCCGTCGACCTCCTCGCGGCCTCGTGTGCGTGCCGCGCGCTGCGCGCGGCCGCGGGTGGCGACGGCGTCTGGCGTGCGCTCCTGGTCCGGCACCTGCAGCCGGTGCTGGTGGCGTTCTTCGGCGGCGTGCCCCCGCCGCCTGCGGCGGTCAGGGACACCAGCAGGGGGTGGTGGGCTCAGGGGGTCTGGGGGACTGTCCCAGGGTTTTGAGATGTTCGACGTTGTTCGTCGGTTCTCGGCGGCTGTTCTGCCTCGGGATGCTTTCCAGCGGTTGCGCCTCGCCGAGAGCGTTCTGGGCGTGCCCGGATCGCCCCGAACGGCAGGCGGAGGCCCGAGTTATGACTAGAGGACCACAAGGGGATCGGCTCAGGAGAGGACGCGTAGACCCCCGATCGCCCACTGATCGCCGATGGGGGTTTGACAGCCCCGCCCCGCCCAGGAACGCCCGGATTGGTCACCGGTGGCTCATCGGCGATCCGTCGGCGATTTATCGTCGATTCCAGGTCGATCTTCCCCACCCCCCTGAGCCAGTCCCCCCCGATCGTTGCCCCTCAGGCGGGCAGGAGCTGGAAGGTCCACTTCTTCGAGTTCCGAGTGGCGTGGAAGAGGCTCGTGCAGGAGCTCTCAGAGGAGGAGGTGCGGATACCGCTACCCTTTTCTCGTCTGCGCCTTTTCCCAGAGATCCGACGTTCCAACAAAATTGGAGCGCGCGGTTTCTGGCTGTTTTTGGCCTCTGGGGGCCATCTCCAGGCCCCGGGAGTGTAACAAAATTAACCAGGACGAAAAACGAAAGTAGTCTGGACGTCCGGGGCCCACATTGAAGCAGCTGGATGTCTCGGTTGGGGCCTCCCTCGAGGCTCTCGTCGCCACAGCCAGATTCGCCATGCACGAAATCCTAGTCAGAACGCGCCTGGGGAGAGGTCAAGTGAGCGCCAGAGTGCTCCGGCAGAACATTTCCGGAACACGCTGAACGCTCCGCGTTCAAGGGTACATTCCTTCCCCCTCTTCGCTCCTGCGCGCGCGTGCTGGCAAGAAGGAGGGCCGTACGATAGCTGTGTTTGCTCAGGCCAGTCTGAAGAGCCAGCGAGAGCGGCGAAAGCTCACACGTGACCTTGGCAACAAAGCTGCTCTATCACATCATACAGATCACAGGTTCGAGATTATCAATTGTTGTATTGTGCGGTATCGGTACATGTTTTGCCCCCCAGTGGGCGGAAGACATGTCCGTATCCACGGCCGCGCGGGCGCGGGGCCCCTGGGCCGCGGCCGCGTGGACACGGGGCGTTGCTTCGCGGGTGCCCCGTGCGGTACGTGCCCGTGCGCCCGCGTATCCGCGGGATCGCGCCCCGGAATCCAGACCGCGAGGACGTGGATTTGCAAACGCATGTTAGCCCTGATACCCTCGTCTTGAGACGACTGCAACACCTACCGTCTTCAAAACGTCCGTGCTGACACGGCGCGCGATGGCTCGCAATGTTGGCCCACGTTTTGGCGAGCGTGTCGCGCCAGACCTACATGCCGAGTCGACGTGTTAAGCTCCGTGTCAACACGTTACGGGTTGCGGGTTGCGAGTTGTGTGTCGGGGCAGCTAAGAGCTAAGCGCACGTTCGATCGTGAGGAGCGCCGAGGGCGTATTTTTTGTCCGTGCGTGCATGGCGGCGCCGCCAAAAAGTCAGATCCGCGGCGGGTGACCGGGACGTCTGGTGAGCATCCCCTGCCGCACGCTTGCCCGCGCCGCCGTACATTCCAACATCACTCTGTGAGACAGGCGTCTGCGGACGGCGTTGCTGCCGAGGTTCCTTCGCTCCTCCCCACGGGGAGGGAGACCTCGACCCTCCTCCTCTCGCGCCGTGAAGCATCCACGGCGTCCTGTGCTGTGGAGCTCTCATTTCTTCGGTCGTAGATCATGGGAGCCTGGTATACCATCGCATCTCCGTCTTTTGCGTCGAATGGCGTCTGGGATTCCATGAGATAGCGCCGATTTAGCGTCGGTTAGCGTCGATGAGCGTCGACTAGAGTTGAGCAGCGACGATTCGCAATAGCCGACAAGATAGTATGGGAGGCTCCCATGAGCTGCCTCCGAAGATTTCTAAAGATGCCATCCTTTTGGCCGCTGTTGCTGGCCGCACCCCGCCCGCGAAGTGTCGACACGGTCTTCCAAGGCCCTTGCATCCTTCTCGTGTGTCCTTACGATACGGGTCGACTGTATTGTTGATTTCCCCTGCCCAGTGCCCATTGTGTTTTCAATTGAAGTGCTCCTCCCGGGGCCCGCACCTGGTTTTCACATGGGGGAAGTCTTGGGAGCCATATTGCGCCGAACGGTCATTCATTGTCCCTGGGTGTGCGGCTGACGTGAGAAAATGTGGTGAGGATTATGCTTGTTGCGTTGTTGTTGTTGCTGCTGCTGTTGTTATTGTTGTTGTTGTTGTTGGTGTTGATGTTGTTGTTGTTGTTGTTGTTGTTGTTGTTGTTGTTGTTGTTGTTGTGGTTGTTGTTGTTGTTGTTGTCGTTGTTGGTGTTGTTGTTGTTGTTGCTGCTGCTGCTGCTGCTGTTGCTGTTGTTGTTGCTGTTGCTGTTGTTGTTGGTGTTGTTGGTGTTGTTGTTGTTGTTGTTGTTGTTGTTGCTGTTGTTGTTTGTTGTCGTCGTCCCCCCCGCGACCCACCCGAGACCCACCCCGCGACCCACCTCGCGACCCACCCTGCGACCCACCCCGAGACCCACCCCGCGACACACCCGCGATCCAACCCGCGACCCACCCGCGACCCACCCCGCGACCCACCCGCGACCCACCCGCGACCCACCCGCAACCCATTTGCGACCCACCCGCGACCCACCCACGACCGATCCACATTTGTTTGAAGAAAAATCGGCGCCTGCGGCGGGCTCGTTGTATAATGTGTGAAACTTTGGCGCCTGCGGCGTGCTTCTCCAGAGTCTCGCAGACTGCCGACGTCCTCACCGCCCCCTCACTCTTATCCGCATCTGCGGGGTGCTACGTATTGAACATCGCGCCCTCGCGCGGGACGTCCTCACTATTTATCCAGGGACGCGCTCCCGCCTTGAACATCCTCGCAATCTTTTGAATCGCAGCGCCGCCAACACCCAAGAATCACGCTCCAGCTATGGATTTATTCGTGATTTTTTGGGGACTTGCGCTATCGCTGGAGACGTCCTCGCGATTCAAGCAGGGCTGAAGCTTCAACGACCCGCCGCTCGACCCCGCAGTCTCCCTGCTGCTAATCTCTCCCTTCCCATTGTGTCTTCCCTCATCCCTTGTTTCTTCTTGGCCCCCGGTTTACAACAACAACTGCTCCCGCTTGATACTTCTTCACGGTTGATTCAAATTCGCGCTCCGGCCTGGGACTTCCTCAGAATTGATGCAGGGTTTGCGCTCTCGCGTGGTGCTTCCTCAGAATTTGTTGCGGCAGCGTGCCCCAAAGACTCAGAAGTCATTTTCTCGTTTTGGATTTCCCCTTCGATTTGCTTGGGAATCGCTCTGTCTCTCGAAACTTCCCTGCGGTTCCTGTTGGATTGACTGCCCGTTAGGGCCCGCCCGCCCGACCCGCCCGTCTGGTGCTGCCGCTTGTTCTCCTGCTTTTGACCCACCTCCTGCAAGTCTCTCTCGTGCTCCATCCTTCTCCCTCCCTCACCCTTGTCTCTTCCCTCCTTACTTCCTTCCTCTAGGGGCAGCGCCACCTACACGCGGCAGAAACAATGAGGATTCGATCGAAGACGAAGAGGGCGGGCGGCATCGAGGTTTTGGAGTATACATGTTGAGTGGCGCGCGAGCGGGTAAGGGCGAATAGTCTCAAAATGATGATGTTGTTGCTGCTGGTGCTGCTATCTCCGGCCTCATGAAGACCCTCTTGTGGGCCCGGGACCGTTAGAACAATGACAGGATTACACTTCGGTTTTGGCGAATGGGTCGAGACTTCTTGGGGTCGACGTTGTTACAAATTATGACGCCAGGGGTCTTGAGACAGGAGGAGCATTGCTCTGCAGCGCAATAGCTTCTACGGGACTTAGGGGGAAGGGCCTACGGAGGTGACGCTGGCGCTGCACGGGGGGAAGGGGAGGAGGAGCGGTTCACCGCACCGATCTCCCGGCTTCTAGGAGAGGACCGGGCGGCTGCTGATCCAGGTCGGCGCGCAGCTCCCGTGTGGGCGGGGCCCCAACGAGAGCCTCTCCCTCTGGGCCCTCTTGGAGAGCGCGGAGAAGCCGCAGACTTACGGCGTGTACGACGTGACCAGCTTCGCCGACGACCACCCCGGCTCGGATCTGGTCCTCAGGAGTGCAGCCGGCCTCGTAGACGCCACAGGCACCTTCGAGTCTGCTGCGCACTCGGACGCGGCGCTGCGGAGGCTCGCCTCGCTCGCAGTGCCTGGCCTGGAGGCCCTGCCGTACGACTACGAGCTGGAGAAGATGCGCTGGCGGCAGCTGTCCGCCTGGCAGTCCCCCGACTTCCAGGTCTTCGAGCAGGGAATCGGCGACAGCAATGAGCTACCCCGCAGCTGATTTCCCCGTCGACTCTACGAAACAATACGTGGAATGCACGACAAAATCACGCTGGGATGGGTGCATCAATCGGCGTCACCCCAACATATTGATACTATGTGTGCGCCGCCCCCCCCAGGGGCGACGCGCGCACCGAGAAATCTTGTAGTATCTGCGTCGTGGCGGGCCTTTTCTGGCCACACCGCTCGGGCAACGATACTCTACAAAATGGTTCTCCTGTATGTTCGGGTCGGACGCGCGCCTCCACGGAGGACATAATAGTACTGGCATCGGTGGCATTTGGGGGTGGATCTCATCGCGGGGCCGAGGTATCTCCCCAGATTTCATGGCGCCTCTTTTTACTTCTCAATGCGTCCCCGGCCCCCCCCTGGGCAGCGCACGTGCCGCCGCCCATGATCTGCACCCCCCCCCTCTTGGACGCCCCCGATAGTATGTCTCTCTGCATCCCCATCAACTCTGTAGCCGACCTCCTACTCGAGGTCTACGCCCGCGCCTCCGTGGGCGTCGCGAGCTGGGCGGCCACGATCCGCCCATCCCCCCGTTCGGCTGGTCGGCCCCGCTGCGGCCCCGCCGGCCGCGATCCGCCGACCCCGCTGGACCGCTCGGCACCTGGGCGGTCCCGTCGGCGGTGATCTCCTCCTCCGCCTCCTCCTCCTGCTCCTCTTTCTCCTGCTCCTCTTTCTCCTCCTCTTTCTCCTCCTCGTCCTCCTCCTCCTCCTCCTCTTCCTCCTCCTCTTTCTTCTCCTCTTCCTCCTCCTCCTCCGCCTCCTCCTCCTCCTCCTCCTCCACCTCCTCCTCCTCACCCTCCTCCTCCTCGCCCTCCTCGTCCCGTCGTCCCAGTCATCCAGGCACTCTGGCCGATCGGCCACGGCCTGCCGATGCCTCTCTCGGCGCGGGCGCGGGGGTGCCTGGGGGCGAGGGGCCTGGCCCTCCGAGACGGCCAGGGGCTCCCCAGAGGGACTTGGCCTCCGAGGAGCTTTTTGCTGGAGGCCTCCGAGCCTTGGCTGCCTCGATGCGCCCGTCTTGAAGCGCAGCAGGTACCGTGCTTGACAAGCGTCCCAGACCCCCTGGCGTTGTGGAAACATCACGGCGGGAGTTTTTTCTCCATTTTCGGCTTCTGGGGGCCCTCTCCAGGCTGACTTAGGACCGTCAAAAAACGACTTAGGATGACAAACCGGTCCCGGGGAAGGGGTCCAGGGCTCTGGGGGTCGACGTTGTGAGCAAATCACGGCGTCATGGGGTCTGGGGTCCGTGCCACTGCGTTGCGTGTTGGCTTCGCGTCTCGGCCCACGCTTTGGCGAGCGTATCGCGCCCTGCCTGCGCTGCCGGTCTGCGTGAGGAGTTCCGCATCCACACGCGGCGTGTTGCGTGTTGCTCACCGGGGCAGCTCAGCTCCGAGCCCCTCGGAGGAGGGCTCCCAGGAAGGCCGCCCCGCCCGCGCCGCTCCCTCGAGTGCGCCGCCTCCGATCCCCCTCGCGTCGGCCGGTGGTCGCGGCCACCGATCGTGGCCCCGATCTCGCCATGGGGGCTTTGACGGTTTCGGCCTCTGCGGGCCCTCGCTGGGTCCAGACCTCCAGGGCTCACGCTCCGACGAATCTTGGAGCCTCCGGATGTCTGGGCAAAGGGGTCCTGAGGTTTTTCGCAGTCCTCGGGCTCTTGGGGCCCTCCACGGGCCCCAGGACTGTCAGAACACATGATGAAGAGGTCGTGCAAGGGGACGGCCCCAGGGCTCAGGACCCGTTTCCCTCAGGACCCGATTCCCTTATGCCAGTGATCAGGAGCGGCATCAGGCCTCAGCTCAGCCTGGGGCGGAGAGGTCCGCTCCCAGACCTGCGTCGCAGGGAGCGGCGTCGCGGCTCTGGAGCTGCTGGCCGGGAACACAGCTCTGGGGCCAGATCCACTCTACCCGGGAACCGATCGCCTATAGGGCCTAGGACCCCAGGGGATGCAGATACGCTTGGGCCCCCGGGGGCCCGAATCGATACACCTCCACTACCTCCTGAGGTCCTGGGAGATTGCGGATAATCCCTGGCCTCGGACTGCGGATAATCCCTGGCCTCGGACTGACCCTGTGACAGATTCTCTCCGCGCCAGGCCGACTGAACTCGGCTACGCGTGAGAGTGACCCTTCGCCAGAGTGACCTTGTGCGGGCCCACTACAGCCAAAACGCTGCAAAAAGGAACGGCTTGGATTCGGAAGGGGCTCGGTGTTCCTGAGGTTCTTCCATGGCTGTTGCACCAGCGCTTCGCGTCCACGCACGCAAGCGCTTGTGTGGCCCCGAAAAGGGGCTTCATGCCTTACTTAGCGTTCCTCATGGCAGTAGATTGACTGTACCCAGACATCGGGCTGCTCCATTTTTACCTAACAGCGAAGACTGATAGGTTTCTAGTAGGGTCAAAAGAGAGCATCATGACTCCCCAGGGGGGTCTGGGCTGGATCCGGCGATCTGCCGGCGCTCTGCCGCTGCCACCCAAATCGCCTGAGACATCCTCGCAAAATCGCTCTTGGCGCTCCCAGAACTCCATTCCCGGGCCACATTTTGAACGCCCGGAGCCAACTGTAGGCCACTTCGTGGTCTTCGAGTTCCCAGAACTTCATTCCTGGGCATGATTTTGAATGCCCGGAGCCAACTGTAGACCACTTCGTGTTCTTCGAGTTCCCAAAACTCCATTCCCGGGCCACATTTTGAATCCTGAGGCAGGCTGATGCTGAGGCTGAGGCAGGCTGAGGCTGAGGCAGGCTGAGGCTGAGGCCGAGGCTGAAGGCAGACTGAGGCTGAGGCTGAAGCAGGCTGAGGCTGAGGCTGAGGCAGGCTGAGGCTGAGGCTGAGGCAGGCTGATGCTGAGGCAGGCTGAGGCTGAGGCTGAGGCTGATGCAGGCTGAGGCTGAGGCAGGCTGAGGCTGAGGCCGAGGCTGAAGGCAGACTGAGGCTGAGGCTGAAGCAGGCTGAGGCTGAGGCTGAGGCTGAGGCAGGCTGAGGCTGAGGCTGAGGCAGGCTGATGCTGAGGCAGGCTGAGGCTGAGGCCGAGGCTCATGCAGGCTGAGGCTGAGGCAGCCTGAGGCTGAGGCCGAGGCTGAAGGCAGACTGAGGCTGAAGCAGGCTGAGGCTGAGGCTGAGGCAGGCTGAGGCTGAGGCTGAGGCAGGCTGATGCTGAGGCAGGCTGAGGCTGAGGCTGAGGCTGATGCAGGCTGAGGCTGAGGCAGGCTGAGGCTGAGGCCGAGGCTGAAGGCAGACTGAGGCTGAGGCTGAAGCAGGCTGAGGCTGAGGCTGAGGCAGGCTGAGGCTGAGGCTGAGGCTGATGCTGAGGCAGGCTGAGGCTGAGGCTGAGGCTGATGCAGGCTGAGGCTGAGGCAGGCTGAGGCTGAGGCCGAGGCTGAAGGCAGACTGAGCTGAGGCTGAAGCAGGCTGAGGCTGAGGCTGAGGCAGGCTGAGGCTGAGGCAGGCTGAGGCTGAGGCTGAGGCAGGCTGAGGCTGAGGCTGTGACTGCGACTGCCGTTGCCACTGCGACTGCCATCGCGAATGCGACTACGACTGCGAGAACAGCATAATTCTACAACAGGATTCTCATGTGAATCTGAAGGGGAATGTTTCCAGATATGCTCCTACATACCGCTGTTAGCTTGCTTTGCTGGGATAATTTTGTCGACGCGTGGCCCCCAGCGGTCTGGACCACTTCCTTGGGGTCGGGTTTTCGCCCTGAGTTGTGTTCTGACGAGCCCGAGGCACGGCGAGGGCCCCCGGAGGCCGAAAACAACCCCCAAACCGCCCGCCCCATTTTGTTTGGAGCGTCGGATCTCTGTGCAGGGCCCCCCGATCTGCGCATGCGATATGCACTGCGGCTTGCGAGCGGCTTGCGCGCCGGGGCAGGCCGCCCGCCCTCCCTGCGCCCAGAGTCGGAACCTCGAGCGGCGAGCGTGTCCATATCCACACCCTCGCGGCCTGGACTCGGGGGCGCGGGCCCGCGGACTCGCGGTCGCACGGGTAGATACGTCACGCGCGGGACCCCCGCGAACAAGCGCCCCGGGGGCCCGGCCCGCGAGGGCGTGGAAACGGATAAGGTTTCGCGCCCACGGCTGAAGCGGCGCACCAGAAGCCACTCCTGTCCAGGGCCACTCTCGGCGCGCGTCGGTGTGGAACAAATCGGGCTCCGGATCGCGCCGCGTCCTCCCCCTCCTTCTCCTACTCCTCGCTGTTCTTCCTCTGTTTCCTTCGTCCTCCTGCCTCATCCTCCCTCCTTCCGTCCTTCCTTCCTTCCACCTCGTCTCCCTTTTCCGCCTCCCCTTCCTCCCCCTCCCGCTCCCCCTCCCCCTCCTCCTCCTCCTCCTCCTCCTCCTCCTCCTCCTCCTCCTCCTCCTCCTCCTCCTCCTCTCCTCCCCCCCTCCCTCCCTCCATCCCTCCCTCCCCTCCCTCCCTCCCTCCCTCCCTCCCTCCCTCCCTCCCTCCCTCCCTCCCTTTCTTCCCCCTCCTCCCTCCCTCCTCCTCCTCCTCCTCCTCCTCCTCCTCCTCCTCCTCCTCCTCCTCCTCTCCTCCTCCTCCTCCCTCCCTCCTTCCTCCTCCCCCCCCTCCTCCCTCCTCCCTCCCTCCTCCCCCCTCCCCCCACCGCCTCCCCCTTCCCCCCCCCTCCTCCTCCCCTCCTCTCCTCCTCCTCCTCCTCCTCCTTCCCCTTCCTCTCCTCCTCCTCCTCCTCCTCCTCCTCCTCTCCTCCCTCCTCCTCCTCCTCCCCTCCTCCCTCCCTCCTCCTCCTCCTCCTCCTCCTCCTCCCTCCTCCTTCGTCTCCTTCTCCTCATCCCCCTCCTCCTCCTCCTCCTCCTCCTCCTCCACTCTTCTTCTCCTTTGCTTCCCCCTCCTCCTAATCCTTTTCCTCCTTCTCCTCTTCCTCCTGCTCCTCCTCCTCCCCTCCTCCTCCTCCTCCTCCGTCTCCTCCTCCTAGTCCTTTCCCTCCTCCTCGTCCTCCTCCTCCTCCTCCTCCTCCTCCTTCTTCTCATCCTTTCTCCCCCTCCTCCCACGGCCTCCGAGGTCGTGGCCCTGCTCGCGTGCTACTCCCCGCAGGCCTCTGCGGTCACCGCCGCCTGCGTGGGGCTGTGGCTGTGGTCGCAGGGGGACCGGCTGCGGGGCGCTGGCAAGGATCGGCGGCGCGCACCAGGGGAGAGGAACACAGAGGAGAACGAATGTGGAGGGAGGAGGGAGGAGGGAGGAGGGAGAGGAGGGAGAAGGAGGAGGGAGAGGAGGGAGAGGAGGGAGAAGAGGGAGAGGAGGGAGAGGAGGGAGAGATGAGGATGAGGATGAGGATGATGAGGAGGAGGAGGAGGAGGATGATGATGAGGAGGAGGAGGAGGAGGGAGGAGGAGGAGGAGGTGGAGGGAGGAGGTGGAGGAGGAGGGAGGAGGGAGGAGGAGGGAGGAGAGGGAGGGAGAGGGAGGAGAGGAGGAAGGAGGGAGGAGGAGGAGGAGGAGGAGGAGGAGGAGGAGGGAGCAGAATGAGCGAGGAGCGAGAGGGGGAGGGAGGGGAGGAGGGAGAGGGAGGAGGGAGGGAGGGAGGAGGAGGGAGGAGGGAGGAGGGAGGAGGGAGGAGGGAGGAGGGAGGAGGGAGGAGGGGGAGGGAGGAGGAGGAGGAGGAGGAGGGAGGGAGGGAGGAGGAGGGAGGGAGGGAGGGAGGGAGGAGGAGGAGGGAGGAGGGAGGAGGAGGAGAGAGAGGAGAGGAGAGGAGAGGGAGGAGGAGGGGAGGAGGAGGAGGAGGAGGAGGAGGAGGAGGAGGAGGAGGAGGAGGGCGAAGGAGAGGAGGAGGAGGAGGAGGCGGAGGAGGAGGAGGAGAAGGTGGAGGAGGAGGAAGAGAAGGAGGAGGAGGAGGAGGAGGAGCTGGGGGAGGAGGAAGAAGAAACAGAGGAGGTGGAGAAGGGAGGAGGGAGGAAGAGGAGGGGAGGACGAGGAGGAGGAGGAGGACGAAGGAGGAGGGACGATGATGATGTTGACGATGCTGATGATGATGGTAATAATGATGATGATGATGGTGATGATGGTGATGCTGATGCTGATGCTGATGCTGATGCTGATGCTGATGCTGCTGATGATGACGACGATGATGCTGCTGATGATGATTATGATGATTATGATGATGATGCTTACCAGGTTGATGATCATGATGGTGGTGGTGATGATGATAAGTATGATGCCAATGCTGACGCTGCTGCTGCTGACGATGACGATGCTGACGATGCTGATGATGCTGATGCTGCTGCTGCTGCTGATGATGATGATGATGATGATGATGATGATGATGATGATGAATGTAGTGATGATGACGACGATGGTGATGAGGATGATGAGATTGACGATATGGTGATGATGATGACGTGATGGTGAACTGATGCTGGTGATGATGGTGATGATGAGGTTGATGATGACGATGCTGGTGATGCTGATTATGCTGATGATGATGATAATGCTGATGCTGATGGTGATGCTGATGATGATGAGGAGGAGGAGGAGGAACACGAATAAGAAGAGGGGGTGATGATGAGGAGGAGGAGGAAGAGGAGGAGGAGGAGGAGGAGTGGAGGAGGAGGAGGAGAAGGAGGAGGAGACGGATGAGCAGGAGGAGGACCAGTGTAAACCCAAGAGTCATCAACGATGTTTGAAATAACCCTTCCGTAAACTTCACTCTTCATAGTCTCCATACAACGGTTCATTTCAATTTCGGGAACTGCCTCGTTGGAAGACAGCCGTTTGAAGACCCTGAAGCATGCCAACACATTGTTCTCGGGATTTCAATGCCACGTGTCAACCTGACTGCTGCGTCTTGACGATCTGGAATCATGCCAGAAAGCCTTGTTGGGGATTTCAACACCTCGAACCAACATAACTGCTGCACCTGCATAATCCGGAACCCTTTGAAGCAATTCGGGTGAACTGATCATGGGACTCCGTAAGCCTTTTGCAATTTTGCTAAACGGATTTGCGCGGCGCTAAGGCGAGGGCGACATTTTGAAAACGACCCGCCTTCAATCCGCGAAACGCTTGCATGTGTTAAACGAATGCGCGCGGCGCTAAGGCGAGAAACACAGTTTTAAAGGAGCCGCCCTCAATCCGTGAAACTCTTGCAACTTGTTGGAACGAGTGTGCGCGGCGCTAAGGCGAGTTCGACATTTTGAAAACGACCCGTCCTTGCAAATGTAAGAGCGACATTGTGAAACCCTTGCAAGTGTAAGAGCGAATGTGCGCGGCGATACGGCGAGAGTCACATTTTGAAAACCACCCGCCATCAATCCGTGAAACGCTTGCAATTGTTTTAACGAATGTACGCGGCGCTAGGCGAGAGCCACATTTTGAACCCGACCCGCCCTCCATCGGTGAAGCTGTTTTCACTTTTTAAGCTTTAGGGTCATACACAGTGAGGAAGTCTCAGTCGAAACGCCTGGACCGCCCTGAGGAGAAGGAGTGGAGGAGGAGGAGGAGGTGGAGGAGGAGATGAAGGAGGAGGAGGAGGGGGAAGAGGAGGATCAGGAGGAGACCATGGAGGTTGATGGAGGAGAGGATGGAGGGAGAGGGAGGAGGAGGAGGAGGTAGAGGAGGAAGATGATGAGGAGGAGGAGGTAGAGGAGGAGGACGGAGGAGGACGGAGGAGGACAGATGAGGACAGAGGAGGATAGAGGAGGAGGAGGAGGAGGAGGAGGAGAAGGAGGAAGAGGAGGAGGAGGAGGAGGAGGAGGAGGAGGAGGAGGAGAGGAGGTAGAGGAGTAGGACGGAGGAGGCTGGAAGGGACGGAGGAAGACGGATGAGGACAGAGGAGGATAGGAGGAGGGGGAGGAGGAGGAGGAGGTTGAGGAGGAGGAGGAGGAGGTGGGGGAGGAGGAGGAGGAGGAGGGAGGAGGAGCGGAGGAGGGAGGAGGAGGAGGAGGAGAGAGGAGGGAGAGGAGGAGGAGGAGGAGGGACGGAGGAGGAGTTGGAGTTGGGAGTCCTAACAGAGGAGGAGGATGAGGAGGAGGAGGAGGGAGGAGGAGGAGGAAGGAGGGAGGAGGTAGAAGGAGGAGAAGAGGAAAGAAGGATGAGGAGGAGAGAAGTAGGGCAGAAGAGGAGGAGGAGGAGACGGAGGAGGAGCGTGGTGAGGAGATCGAGGAGGAGGAGGAGGAGGAGGAGGAGGAGGGGGAGGAGGAAGAGGAGGCGGAGGAGGAGGAGGAGGTGGAGGAGGAGGAGGAGGGGAACAGGAGGAGGGGGAGGGGGAGGGGGAGGAGGAAGGGGGGTGGCGAGGGGGGCGACTCTCCAAAGAGGCAGGGGGCCTTCCGAGAATGCAGGTAGCTTCTTTGAAGTCATCCCGACTTCGCAGAAGCCTTCTTAGAAGCCTCCCGCTGGCCTTTCTAAAGAGGCCCCCCCTTCTCAGAAGCACCCTTCCTTCTTGGCATGCCACCCTCTCTCGCGCCACGCTCTGGTGCGCGCCGCCAATGAGGAGCGGCAGGAGTACGGGGTGATCTAGGTGGCCATTCCTCGGATCCAGATCTCCGACGATCTGTTTTGCAATCCGGGCCTTTTGCTCGTCTCAGGCCTCCAGGTGTCGCCTGTCGGGACCTTTTGGGCCGCGGATGGCAGCACTCGTGCCGGCAGACAATTGTGTCCTCGGAGCAGAAAAGGTTGCACGACCAGAAACGTTCGGAATCCCGCGCTGGACTTCTTAGATCGGCGCTGGGCCCTCCCCTCCCCCGACGCGCGCCGGGGCTGGCGCCGGAGGCGCCGCAGAGGGGGGGATCCAGCGCTGAGGCAGGAAATCTGCGCGGGCCTCCGACATTTCATGGTGGTGCTGTTTTTCTTTGGCGTCGCTCGGCGAGGGCCTTCGAGAAGCATCTCGGAGCATCTTGCGAAGAAACAGCAAGCACACGACCCCGAAAAACGCACCGGCAATGGGCGTCCGTGCGATGGCAGGTTTTCGACTACACGTTAGAGTCACCCTTCGCCGGAGTAACCTCTGGTGCGGGCCCAATGGGGTCCCCCTATCGCCGAACGCGATGCGGTAGTAGCGCCTTGCGCGCTTGTGTTTGGCCCCCCCCCCGCGGCCCTAAAAAAGCCGCGCACCAAAGGTCACTCTTACCCAGGGTCACTCTTGCGTGTAGCCGAGGTTTCTTTTCCAGAATGGGGGGCGCTCCCCCGCTCCCCCGCCAGGTGAGGCGGTGATTTTCACACGCGCGCTCGTCCATGGCTGGCGGCGCTCGGTGGCGGTGGCTGTTTCGGCGGAGCTCTTCGCCTTCCGGGTGCTCGCGCTTGCCGTGCCTCGTCGCCTCGTTGCTCCACGAGGTCTGGGCGCGCGCTCCTGGGTGGTGTGACATCGCCGTGGTGCTCACTCCACTCAAGCCTCTCCCTCCCGCTCTCCCTCCACATCCCTCCTTCCCCCCTCCTCCTCTCCTCTTCTCCCCTCCCTGCCCCCCCGCCCCCTCCAGCTCCCCTCACCTCCAGCCTCTTTTTTTTGTGTCCTCCCTCCGTCGGCAGCAGGCCGTCGTTAGGTCGGCGCGTGGTTTCATACATTCCCTTCCTCCGCTTCCTGTCGGCAGCAGGTCGACGTCAGGTCGATACATGGAGCACGGATGCCCAGATGGCGGTTCTTTGTGTTTGTTCGCCGTAGGCGTCGCCCGCCGCGTGAGGCGTAGAGTCCCGAGGATCGGCTGCCATATATGCTTTGAGCATACGCCTCGGCAAGTCGAGTATGCCACCTCGTCACGTACGGGGGGCGCGCATCGCACTGTGTGTCCTGACGCGGCTTACTCTTGTCATTAGTGCACTGCCAAGCCTTGGAGGGTTTCTCCGAAGGGCTTAGGCGACCCCTCCTCCTCCTCCTCCTCCTCCTCCTCCTCCTCCTCGTCCTCCTCCTCCTCCCTCCTCCTCCTCCTCCTCCTCCTCCTCCCTCCTCCCTCCTCCTCCTCCTCCTCCTCCTCCCCCTCCTCCTCCTCCTCATCCTCCTCTCCTCCTCCTCCTCCTCCTCCTCCTCCTCATCCTCCTCCCCTCCTCCCTCCTCCTCCTCCTTCTCCTCCTCCTTCTCCTCCTCGTCCTCCTTCCTCCTCCTCCTCCTCCTCCTCCTCCTCCTCCTCTTCCTCCTCCTCCTCCTCCTCCCCCTCCCCCTCCTCCACATCCTCCTCCTCCTCCTTCTCCTCCACCCTGGGTGGTCTACGGTCCTGAGGGAACCGTGCACCAAGCCTGGCACGAGCATAGCCATCGCCATCATCAGCACTGGCAGGAGCGCAACCAGTGCCAGTAGCGCCATCACCATCCGACCATCCGCATTCGCCGACCCAGCTGCGCGCCCCTCCGCCTTTCTGCCCACCTGCGCCGCCACCGCTTCCGGCACGCTCGCCATCAGTGTTGCTGCACGCGTTGCCGCCAGAATCAGTTGCAGCCTTCCTGGCTGAAGTTTGGCGCACGCGTCACTGATTGTTGTTTCTTATCCCCGAGCTTGCTAACAGCGTGTGTTCGGTCTGGTTTGGCGCATCTGCCTTCCCCAGGCGGTCCAGTGCTGCGCAGGAAGAGATGTACATGCTCACCTGTGAGCACGTCTTGACAGGGCAGCATTACGGCGGCCTCATGCCAGATCTCTCAGTATGTTGCGCCTATCACACATCTATCAGGTTAGATGTTGGTCGTGCCCAGAGGAATTGCCAAAGTCGGCCGCACTCAGAGTGTACGGCGTCGGTTTGCACATTTGTTGGAAGGCCCCGGCGATTGTTTTCATGTTTGCGTATATGGAAAACGCCTACGGCGAACCACTGCCGCCCCGTTTTTTTTTGGTTTGGAAAATCCTATGTGGCCAAACGTTGGGCCGAAGTCTTGCCAAGCTACTGGACTATGTGCTCCCCCAGCCGTCGGGGAAACCCTTGTGGGAGTATATCGGGGAAGGAGTAAGGAGAGAAGGAGAAGAGGAATGAGAAGGAGGAGGCTGAGGAAAGGAGGATGAAGAAGAAGGGGCCTGGCGGGGACTTCTTGGGGCCTCCTGGGGGCTCCCTGAAGGCCTCACGGGGCCTCTGAGGAGCCTCTCTTGGGTGCCTCCCTCCTGGAGCTCGATGGGGACCCCTTGCGGCCTCTTGAGGGCCTCTTGGTCTTCGGATGCCGTCTTGGGGGCCTCTCTGGGCGTTCATGCGCCATCTTGGGGAGCTCCAGGGCCGTCTTGGAGGTCTCCTGGACCCTCTTGTGGCCCTCTTCGGGCCGTCCTGGAGGCCTCTTGGGCCGTCGTGGGGCCAACCTGCCCGACTCAAACATCCCTCTCGGGGGCTTCTTGGGCCGTCCTGGGAGTCACCTTGGAGGCATCTCGGGCCGCCTTCGGCGTTCAGAAGCCAGACATTTCGAGAAAAGTACATCCTCCACAAAACAATCAGTAATTCATGAATTTGGCTTCTTCGGGCTCCCCTAGAGGGCCTCCTGGAGCCCCCTGGGGGAGGCATAGGAGCCTCGTGAGTCTTGTTGAGGCCATCTTGGACCGCCTTATGTCCATTTTGAGTCGTCTTGAAGGCATCTTGGAGCCATGTTGGGCTCTCTTTGGGGGCATCTTGGACGCCTTGGAGCTTGGAGGCGTCTTCGGACTCACTTGGATGCGGTCTTGAAAGCCCTGGAATCATATTTTCCGATCATGAGGGCATGCTGTTTTTTTTTCCAGGTGGCCGACGAGTCACGCCGAAGGCCACTGGACACTTGAAAAACGGTTCAAACCAGTAAACCATTGTGCAAAACAAGCACCCGTATGATAAACACAGGGGGCGGCGGATGACGGACAGCGCGCGAAGCGTCGCGATCCGTTAGTTGGGAGGAATTGCGCGTGGGAGTGTAAAGAGGTTTTGCCTTGGCCACCCCAGATGACAAAGAGCGCGCGTAGCATCGCGACCCGTTAGTCAGGGGAAATAGCACGGGGGAGCGTGAGGTGCTGGACCAATGCGGACCCAAATGACGGAAAGCGCGCGTAGCGTCGCGATCCGTTAGTCGGGAGGTAACAAGAGAGGGCGTGCGGGGTCGAATTATAAATTTATAAACGCCGGGTAATTACACCGGTGGAATGGAGTTTTTCCCCCGTCAAACTGGTTTATTTCTCGATTACCTTTTCTAAAACGTAAGGAATCTTTACTCGTCGCAGAGTGGCATCGTTCAGGCCTTTTAGAGGCTTCCAAGAGGCCTCTAAGAAGCCCCTAAGTGGCCTCTAAGACGCCTCTGAGAGGCCTCTGAGAGGTTTCGAAGAAACCAAAACAAAGGGTGGGTGGGTGGGGGGGTCGGCAAAACGGGCGCAGATCGAATGGCTCAACTTTCGGCCAGTTTCGGCCCGAGACGGCCCACGTCAGCCCCAGGAGCGCTTCAGAGGTCCCCAAGACGGCCCACGACAGCCCCAAAAGCGCCCAAGCGACCTCCATGACGGCGTCGGAGAGGTCCAAGAGGGCTGGACAATGGCCCTTGCGCGCTCAAAGAGGCCCTCAAGGGGTCCCCAAAGAGGTCATACCTTCGGAAAGTGTATTTTTCAGCAAATCGGCTTCCTTGGTCTTCACGGTGTCCAAGATGGCCCAAAAGGCCCCCGAGACCGTCCCAGGATTGCCTGAGAGGCCCCAAAGAGCGCTCCAGCCCCAGGACGGCCGAAGAGAGCTCCAAGACGGCCCGAGACGGGCCCCAGAGGGACCCGCAAGGTTCCCAAGACAGCCCCAAGAGGGCCACAGGAGGCCACAGGAGGTCCCCAATATCGCCCCCAGAGAGCCGCAAGACGGCCCAAGCACGTCAAGTCGGCCCAAGAGGGTACGGCCCAGGAGAGCCCCAAGACGGCCCCAAAGAGCCCCAAAAGGACCCCCAGGAAGGTCTGGAAAAGCCAGATTTATTGATTTCCGCAGGCAGGGCTTTTTTATTTGATTTTCGTATGTCGTACCCAAGCCTTCAAACCAGCAGGGCTCCAAGACGCTAGCCAGCGACCTCGCGCCCTCACAGAGAAACCCGCGCTGTACAGCGCCTTAGAGGCCCCAGGACGGCCCGAGGAGGAGGAGGAGAGGAGGAGGAGGAGGAGGGGAGGGGGAGAGGAGGGAGGAGGAGAACAGGAGGAGGAGGAAGGAGGAAAGGAGAGGAGGAGGAGAGGGAGAGGAGGAGAGGAGGAGGAGGAGAGTAGAGAAGGAGGGAGGTGAGGAACGGGAGGAGGAGGGAGGAGGAGGAGTGGAGGGAGGAGGACGAGAGGACCGAGAAGGAGCGAGGAGAAGGTGGAGGAGGAGGAGGAAGAGGGGAGGAGGAGTGGAGAAGGAGGAGGAGGAGGAGAGGAGCGAGGAGGAGAGGAGGAGGAGGAGCGAGGAGGAGAGCGAGAGTGAGGAGGAGGAGGAGGAGGAGGAAGGAGGAGAAGGAGGAGGAGGAGGAGGAGGAGGAGGAGGAGGAGGAGCGAGGAGGAGCGAGGAGGAGCGAGGAGGAACGAGGAGGAGCGGGAGGTGGAGGAGGAGAAGGAGGAAAGGAGAGCGATGAGGGAGGAGGAGGAGGAGGAGGAGGAGGAGAGGAGGAGGAAGAGGAGGAGGAGGAGGAGGAGGAGGAGGAGAAGGAGGGGAGGAGCGAGGAGGAGCGAGGAGGAGCGAGGAGGAGCGAGGAGGAGGAGGAGGAGGAGGAGGAGGAGGAGGAGGGGAGGCGTAGGCGGAGGTGGAAGCGGATGCTCATGATGATGTTGCTGATGGTGATGATGATGTTAATGATGATGATGGTGATGCTGATGAGGATGCTGATGCTGATGATGCTGATGATGCTGATGATGATGATGCTGATGGTGATGCTGATGTTGATTGTGATGCTGATGCTGATGCTGATGCTGCTGATGATGATCATGATGGTGATGATGTGGAGGAGGAGGGTAATTAGGAGGACTACTACGAATGGGCACACTCTTCATATCAAGAAGAATACGAAAATGAACAGCAGTGTTAATGATACTGGTATCACTACTACTAGTACACCTAAGTAGACGAAGGATTTGAGCTCGAAGGCGACCACGAATAATTCAACTAACACTGCGAGCAGTAATACGAAGACTATGAGCCAATATTGTGATTCTAAGAATAAGAGTTGTAGCAACAGTAGAAATTCCGAATCGTACGCATAAGACTAAGAAGACTACCCCGGATCATACGAAGGAGGAGGAGGACGAGGAGGAGGAGGAGGAACGAGGAGGCAACGAGGAGGAGCGAGGAGGAGCGAGGAGGAGCGAGGAGGAGCGAGGGGGAGGATGATGAGGATGGGAGTTGAGGGTGCCATGGGCACGGTACGTCCGAAAAAGGGAAAGGACAATGGGAAGGGGCTTACGCCGACGGCGGGGGGGCGGGGCGCGGGGGGGGGGGGCGGCCGTCCTCGCAGTTATTGAGGACGCCGCGGCCGCGCGCGCGCGCTCGTGCGCCGCTCGCAGCGCGCGCGAGCGGCCTCCCCCTCACCCCCGCGCTCCAGCCTCTCTCCGCCGCTCTCCTCCGTCCTACCCTCGCCTCGGGCCCTCTCACGGGCCCTCTGGGCGGAGCTCCTGTGCTCCGCTTCGGGAACCACTTTGGGTGGGCCCTTATGGGAGGGGTGCAGGCCACGCAGGATTCGACCGAGGGCCTCACGGCCCTTGGGGGTGGGGTCACCGCGCGGCTGCGAAACTGGAGAGTGCCGTGGGCCCCACACGGGATCTCCAGGAGACGGTGGGACGCGTGGGCCACCAGGCATCGGAACTCACGGGTGCCAGCTTCTACCACAACCGCGCCCCCGAACATTCTAGTCTCGAGTGCAGGGACAGGAGGGGGCCCAGGGCAGGTCGTCCTGACCACCTCCTCGATTCTGCAATCATCAACCAGGAGGGCACAGACTTCGCAACGCCACTTCTGGGTGGCATCGCTCGAATGTGTGGGAAGATTGGGAGAGCGCCAACGCGCGGGCCGAGGGGGCTGGGACTCTGGCCGTGGAGTGGCGCTCCCCTCTCTGAGATTTGCCGTGACCGAGGGAACGCATAACAGCACGACACTTGGCTCGAACGAGGGCAGCAGTGGCATCCATGGAGTCGGTGTCGGGGGCAGGGCAAGCACGGCGAGAGTCCCAAAAAGCTGCTCCTTGTGAGGCTCTGGCGTCCGCCAGTGCACTGCCAGCAACTTAAAACGGGTTAGTGATTAAATCAGGAGTCTCGTCGAGATGGGACAGGGCCCGATCGATCTCAACTTTGCGACCTGGTTTAGCTTCCAAGTCCCTGCGGATCCTAGCCCAAACGTCGGGGTTCTTCAGCTTACGAGTCCAGGGTGCAGGGGCTCGTGTGGCCCAGCCTTGCTGCCAGCCATTCACCAACGGTTTGTGATATGTAACAGAAGTGAGGGGTCCGACGTTGCGCTCGATAGCGATGGCGGCTGCCGTGGGCTCCGAGCGCGGCACTGTCTGCCGACGGCCCTCGGGGGGGCCGAATAGACCTTGACCCTCTTTCCAGGAGCCGGGACCGTCTGGCAGCGCCGAAAAGACGGACCAGCCACACCCCCTCCTTCTGGGATCGTCCGAGAAGGCTCTTCCAGAGCCATCGCCGAAGAGGAAGAGGCGTCCCGAGGCTGTGCCGTGGTGGCCTTCCCAGAGACTGTCCGGGTCGGCTCCAATGGTGACGATTTCCCCACCCGCCCCCGAAGGCTCGAAGGAAGAGGAGGTGGAGGACAAGGGAGGGGCTCCT